GCGACTCCTTGAGCGCGGCCGGGGCCGTGGATCGTTTCAGGAGCAATTCTTGTAAAATGCTCCGAGTCACTCAGGCCATCGCCGCCGTCACCCTTGTTACTGCCACCACCCTCCACTACCGCTGGCTGCCCTCAGAGTGGAATGCAGCAGACAACCCCTCGAGGGGGCGTTTCTCCCCCTCGACCCCCCAGCCGCTGCTGCCTCGGGCCAAGGCTGGCGCGGCAGGGCCGGGCGCCGCTGGGCCGCCCGGGAAGCCTGCCGATGTTGGCGCGGGCGCGGCCGCCCGCGGCGCCGCCGCGCGCCCAGACGGCCTCGGCGACGCTGACCCGGTCTACGTTCAGGCCTCCGGGGACGTCGAGGCCGCCAGCCGCCGTGCGCGTCGCCGGGGCGCCGCTGCCCTCGGCCCCGGACGCGCCCGCTCGGCGCGCGGCGGCTCAGGCGAGGGGCCCGCGGCGGCGTCCTGCCGCGGCGAGCCCGCCAGCGAAGAAGCGGCGTCGGGTGGCGGCGACTGCGGCGGCGGCGGCGCGCCGGCGCTCCGCGGCCGTGCAGCTGCCGGGCCTGAGCGTGCTGGAGACGGGATCGATCACGGCGGCGACGCGGGCGCAGTACGTGGAAGCTTTCGACGGCTTCCAGGCTTGGATGGCAGAGCGGGGCGTGCAGCCCACGACGCTGGACGACTACGACGAGCAGCTGGTCCTCCGCCTGGACGAGCTCTACCTGGACGGCGAGGGGATCGGGGCCGGGCAGAAGCTCTTCGCGTCGGTGCTCTTCTTCCTGGGGCTGACGAAGGCGGCGGGCTCGCCGATGGCGCGAGCGCGGCGGGCGCTGCGCGGGTTCCGTCGGTTGGCGCCGCCCACCTCGCGGCTCCCGCTCCCCTTCGAGTTGCCGGCCGCGCTGGTAAACTACCTCGTGAGCGTCTCGAAGCTCGAGGCGGCGCTCGTGCTGTGGCTGAGCTTCGAGCTGTACCTGCGCCCAAGCGAGCCGTACCACATCCGGGCCACCGACGTGGTTCGCCCGGCTCGCGGCCGCCTGGGGCACGACAGCTGGAGCGTGACTCTGCACGCCGCCGAGACGGAGGTGCTCTCGAAGACCGCCGAGTACGACGAGGCGCTGAAGCTGGACCTGCCGCGGCAGGAGCTGCTGGGCCCGGCGCTGGAGGCCTCAGTGACCGCGCGGCTCGGCCCCGACTGGCGGAGGCCTCGCCCCGCGGCGGCGCGCGGCGCCGCCGCGGGCGGCCGCGCGAGCGGCGCGGCCCCGGAGCCTCTGCTGTTCGCGATCACGCAGCGCGAGGTCTCGAGCGCCCTCTCGGCCGCCGCCAAGGCCCTCGGGATCGAGAAGTTCCTGCCCGGCCTGCACCCTTACATGCTCAGGCACGGGGGCGCGTCTCACGACTACGGCAGCAAGGCCAGGTCCCTCGTCGACGTCCAGCGCAGAGGCCGGTGGCAGTCGTGGCATTCGGTCCGCCGATACGAGAAAGGCGCTCGCCTGTCGCAGGTGCTGCAGATGGTGCCCGCTGCGATGCAGGACCACGCAGCGCGGTGCGCCGACTCGCTCGGCGAGATCGTGTCTGGCCGGCGCTGCCCATTTACGCCTCCCTGAAGACCCGCTTCTTCCTGGAGGTGTTCAGCGGCTCCGGGCGCCTGGGACGGGCGGTCGCCGCTGAAGGGCTGCCCGTCCTGCTTTGGGACATCTGCCTGGGCCCCGAGTATGACCTGCTGAGCCCGCAGAAGCGTGGGCTGATTCGGTCCTGGGTTCGAAGCGGGCTCGTAATTGGCATCCACATCGGGACGCCCTGCAACACGTGGAGCCGCGCGCGGGACATCCCGCCCGGACCGATGCCGCTGCGAAGTGACGCTTTCCCTCTTGGCCTTCCCGACTTGAGCGTGAAAGATCAGGCCAAGGTTGATGCAGGCAACGTTTTCATGATTTTCAGCGCTGGCCTCATGCACGAGGCCATCAGGGCCAACATCCCAGCTAGTAATGAGAATCCCCAGACGAGCCGACTTTGGCTCGCCCCTCCTTTCGTCCGCCTGCTGCGCTCGTCGGCCGTCACTTTCACTGTCACGCACTTCTGTCAGTGGGGAGCGCCGTTGCGAAAAGCCACGGCTTTCGCCACAGTCAACCTCGATATGAGTCGCATCGGTCGTGCGCTGTGCAAGTCGTCCAAGAGAGGAATTTGTTCCCGCACTGGCTTGCCGCACGCCCAGCTGCATGGAAAAGACGTGGAGCGCGTCTTTAAAACCAAGCTGGCCGAGGCTTACCCTCAGCGTTTGTGCAACGCCCTCGCCCAAGCCTATAGTAATGCCGTAATATCTCACAGGACTCGTGTTTTTGAGCGGCTGGTCTTACCAGCCAGTTGACATCTTTGGATCGAGTTTCGGGAGTGCATGCAGTGTGTTTCGTCTCATCTGTTGCGTCTCCGGCTTGAGAGTGTGGCCGCCTCTGCAGAGCATCAGATTCGTCCCACACCACGCCTTGCTGGCCATGGAGAAAAAGCAAGGCCCAGAGATGCGTTGTACTTGTACGGAAATCTCGGCACGCGTTTCGGTGAAGGCCGCTCGTCCTGAGGTCCTCGTTTGCCTCTGGTCTCATCCGTAAACACGGTGGCTCAAAGCAACCAACCGTCCAGCCCCGACCACCGCCCTGTTTTTGTTTCTCGTCCTCTCGGCTGCCTGAAGGGCCGCTTTCGATGGGGAGTGCATGCAGTGTGTTTCGTCTCATCTGTTGCGTCTCCGGCTTGAGAGTGTGGCCGCCTCTGCAGAGCATCAGATCGCACCGAGCCTGCCTTGATGGCCATGGAGAAAAAAAGCCAAGGCCCAGAGTTATATTTAAATATATTATTATATATATATATTATATTTATATATATATTTATATTTTTTATATTCGGTTCCCTACACAGTCTGCTCGCTGGCGTGGAACCCAGACGGTGCCTCCCTACACTCTGGATGCGCAACCTGTGTGCCGCATTCTCCGTGGTGCAGTACAAGATCTGTGGCTCAGCCTGAGCAGGACCCCTGGCATCGCTCGGACGTGCGCATGTTTCCTTCGGCGCGGACCGTCGAGGAGCATCCTTGGTCATTTGGCACAAAACCCACGCACGGAACCTAACAAAAACACACAGGGAATGGACGCCCGAGCGATGGCGAGGACCCCACGCGGGCGCCCACATCCGCACCGCACTGACCCCCGCGCGGGCGCCCACGTCCGCACGAGGCGAAGCCTCGGCGGAGCCCCGCCGGCGCGCGTGGGCGCCCGCGAGGGCGCCTCGGCGTGCGGCCACCTCGGCGCCGCACGTTGGCGGAGCCCCGCCGGCGCGCGGCGCCCACGCTCTCTGGGCAGCGGGCGGGGCCTCGGCGGGCCCGGCCGGCGCGCGGGGCGCCCGCGACGCGGCCGCGGGCGGGTCCGTGCCCAGCCCGGTGCAGGCCTGCGCAGCCCATGTTCTTGTGTGCACCCTCGCGTCGCAGCGCGCGCAGTGAGGGAGGGCGAGCGAGAGAGAGAGGGAGAGAGCGAGCGAGCAAGCGAGCGAGAGAGAGAGAGACACACGCGCACTGAAATTCGCCGACGGGGACCGACACAGACGCACACATACACACTCACACACGCGCCTACGCACCCCCCCGTCCCCCCCTCCACATCCACACATACAAACACACACACGCACCCACGCCCACATCCACGCCCACACGCACACCCACACCTACACCCACACCTACACCCACACGCACACGCACACGCACACGCACACGCACACGCACACGCACACGCACACGCACACGCACACGCACACGCACACGCACACGCACACACACGCACCTGCACACGCACCTGCACACGCAGCTGCACACGCACACGCACACGCATCCACACACACGCACACACGCACACACGCATACACGCATACACGCATACACGCATACACGCATACACGCATACACGCATACACGCATACACGCACACACACACGCACACACGCACACACGCACACGTACATGCAGGCACGCACACACACACGCACACACACACACACGCAGACACGCACACACCCACACACGCACACACGCACACACGCGCACACGCGAGCACTCGCACTCGCGCCCACGCGCACACGATCACACGCGCACGCGCGCACGCGCGCACACGCGCACGCGCTCACACATTCATACGCACACGCACACGCGCGCACTTTTTTGTTCGCGAGCGCGCAGGTGTGCCCGGCGCCGTCAGAGCGAAGCAGCGAGCCACGATCTAAATTAAGCCCCGAGCGCGCAGAAGAGACCCACGCAGCAACTCAGAAGGCGAAGAGGACCAGGAAGGACCAGGTCCACGTGCAACGCCGAATTGGCGACGAGCGGGAGGCCGGCGTACTCGAGAAACACGCGCGCACGCGCACGCACACGCACCCGCACTCGCACATTCACACGCAAACGCACACACACACACACGAACCTACACACGCATCTGCACACGAAGCTGCACACGCATTCGCACTTGCACGCGCACCTGCAAACGTTCACGCACACGCACACGTACACGCACACACACACACACACACACACGCACATTCACACGCACACGCAAGCACACTTGCACACGCACCTGCAGACGCACCTGCACACGCACCTGCACAACACGCACCTGCACACGTACACGCACAAGCACACGCACACGCACACGCACAAGCACACGCACATGCACACGCACCTGAATTTGCACACGCACACGCACACGCAGACGCACATGTACACGCACGCACCCACCCACCCACCCACCCACCCACACACGTCGACGTACATCCTTGGCGCAGAAACGCGGGCATAGACGCGGACACGGACGCAGACAACGCAGACGCAATCGGTCGAGCGTTTTCTGGCAAGCACGCGTCTCGCAATATGCGCAGCGGGGGGCAAGGACAACGCCAGTCCGTGCAGCCAGGCCGCCTCTGGCCAGCGCCGTCGGCTCCCGTCTTCGCGGCGTAAGTCCGTGGCTGTGTGCCCTGGAGGGCTCGACTCAGATCCATGTTCGTTCATTGCCTGCGGCACGCGCATATTCGCTTTAAAAATTGGGATGTGTTTCACGGGTTCCCATGGTCAACGTACCAGGAATTGCGTTTTGGAAGGATTCAGGAGCACGCGGCTGCAACAGTCCCCACATCCTCAATGGGTTCTTTCTCTTCTTCTCCTCCTCCCCACCCTTTTGTTTATCCGTCTCGCTCGCTGGGTGGTCACCACCCAGCCTGCCCCGTCCGCTCGGGTGGCAGCCAGGCGTTCGCGCCGGCGGCCCCGCCCTTGGGGGAGGAGAAGGTGGTCTCTCGCGGGGCCAACGCCAGAATGCCCGGCCCCTCGGGGAGGGGGAGAGGGGACGCGAGGGATGATGATGATAAGGACGATGATGATGATGACGATGATGCTGCTGCTGATGATGATGATGGTGATGATGGTGATTTTTACGATTCCTATTATTTGGATCATCGTGGTAATGCTGATGATGACGATCATGAGGATGATGATGATGATGCTGATGATGATGATGATGCTGATGATGATGATGATGATGATGATGATGATGATGGTGGCGATGATGATGCCGCGGATGATGTGGGTTTATGAGGATTCTGACAAGAATGATGATGAGAACGTGGATGATGAGGATGAGGATCAGGATGATGATGAGGATGATAATGGTGCTGATGATGGTGGTGGTTTGTGGTTTTGGTGGCGGTGGTCATGATGACGATGATCGTTGTGATGATGATGATGCTGCTGCTGATGATGATGATGATGATGATAAGGACGAGGATGAGGATGGGGACGAGGATAAGAATTAGGATGCTGACTATGATGTTGATGATTGTTTTGATGATGACGATGCTGATGCTGGTGGTTGTTATGATTATGAACTGACGACCCTGGGGATGCTGATGGTTATCTTCAGAATCATAACGTGTATGATGATGAAGATGAATATGATGATGCTGAGTGTGGTGGCGATGATGGTGGTGGTGATGATGGTGGTGATGATGATGGTGCTGATGGTGATCAGATGGTGAGGATGATGATTATGAGGATGATGATAACGATGATGATGCTGATACTGATTATGCTGATGGTGGTGGTTGTGAAGATGATGATTGTGATGGTGATGATGATGCTGATGATGCTGGTGGTGAGGGTGATGATGCTGATGCTGCTGATGATGATGATGATGATGATGCTGATGCTGATGCTGATGCTGATGCTGCTGCTGATGCTGATGATGACGATGATGATGGCGATGGTGATGGTAATGATGATGGTGATGTTATTGGTGGTGGTGATGATGACGGTGGCGTTGGCGCTGCTGCTGCTGATGATGATGATGATGATGATGATGATGATACTGATGATGATGATGACGATGATGGTGGCGGCTATGATGCGGAGGATGAGCAACAGCAGGATGAGGATGAGGATTGGGTATCGGGACTTCTTCCTATACCTTTCTTCCCTGGAGGAGGATGCCAGATGCGGCAAGGCAGGAGGAGGATATGGGAGGACGAAAAGGCTTGACGAGGAAAGAGGGATAAGGTGAGAATTAATGAACGGTTTGAGGAGCAGCAGCAGTAGCAACAGCATCCGCAGCAGTAGCAAGTGGAGTAGGGCACAAGACACGTAGTGCGGAGGATAGGGCGGATGGAAACTGAAGAGGGGGAGGAGGAGGACGAGGAGGAGGAGGAGGAGGAGGAGGAGGAGGAGGAGGTGTTGGTCCCCTGAGAGCTGGTGGTCGTACCCCCCTGAGAGCTGGTTGGTGCGCCTGAAACGTGACCAGAGGCAGGAGGTTGAGGAGGAGGTTGAGGAGGAGGAGGAGGAGGAGGAGGAGGAGGAGGAATTTGGGCTGCTGCCGCTGGTGATGGAGGTGGTAATGGTGGTGGTGAACATGGTGATCTTGCTGATGGCGATGGTGGTGGTGGTGGTGATAATGATGGTGTGGCTTGTGAAGGCGGTGATGATGGCTAACATGATGTTTACGGTGACGACGGCGACGACGATGCGACGGACGAGGAGAGGGGGAAGGAGCATGAAGAGGAGCCCAAGGAGTAAGTGGAGGGGGCGGGCGCGAGAGGAAGAGGATGAGGAGACACGAGGCGGAGGCTTCCCTCCGTCTCACAGGGTTCCGTTGTTCGATTGTTTCTGTTTTAGATGCTTTTCGCTGCTCTTGCCCTCCCTCCGGCGACCGCCGTGCAGGAGGTGGTCGAGGTCTTTTCTGCGAAAGAAGGAACGGGGTCGTTGCTTCGAGCTTCGGGGAGGGTGTGGTGAGTAGGAAGCATAACACATGGCCTGCCAGGGGGGCAGCCTTGACATCGAACGTTGCGCACACTTCTCACGAGGCGTGTCCTTCGTCTGCTCCTTCAGGGCCCAGGCCCGCTCTTGCGCTTCAGCGTTCTCTCCTGTCTCCTCCCTCCGCCTGTCCTTCTTCTCCTCTTTCCTCTTATCATAATACTTGTAATGATTCGGTCGCCTCTTCCTATTCGTAGATGTATTAGTATTCTTGCTATTGCTATTCTTCTTCAACTTCTTTCACTTCTCTCACGCATGATCATTATGATCATTAGCATCTGTATCAACATCAGCAACATTCGTATGATCATTGCCACTGCTATTCTTCTTTTCTTATAGCACTACGATGGATTTTGAGTTTTGTCTGAATCGTTGTAGTAGTCGTAGCCGTAGCCGTAGTAGTAGTAGTAGTAGTAGTAGTAGTAGTCGTAGTCGTAGTCGTAGTCGTAGTCGTAGTCGTAGTCGTAGTCGTAGTCGTAGTGCTCCCATAGTCGTACACACGTAGTAGTAGTAGTAGTAGTAGTAAGTAGTAGTTGTAGTAGTAGTTAGTAGTAGTTGGTAGTGGTAGTTTGTAATTGTTGGTGTATAGTAGTGAGTAGTAGTAGTCGTATTAGTTATTAGTAGTAGTTGTTGTAGTAGTAGTAGTAGTAGTTAGCTAGTTAGTAGCCGTTGCAGTAGTAGTGGTCAGTAGTAGTAGTAGGTAGCAGTAGTAGCATCGTATTGTTGTAGTAGTTGTGGTAGTCGTCTCGTCGTCGTCGTCGTCGTTCGTCGTCGTCGTCGTCGTTGGTAGTTGTTTGTTAGTAATAGTAGTAGTAGTAGTAGTAGTAGTAGTAGTAGTAGTAGTAGTAGTAGTAGTAGTAGTAATAGTAGTAGTAGTTGTAGTAGTAGCTGTAGTAATAGAAGTAGTAGTAGTACGGCTATTATTAGTCGTAGTCGTGTTTACTGGTAATATTAGCATTACTATCACTATTATTTTCGTGCTCATGCTTTTTACATGCAAGTGATATTCGTATTCTTAGTATGCGCGCCTTCATCATTTTTTGTATTAGTTGAGTGGTTAGTGATATTCATATCGTCATTACTAGTAGTCTAACTCGTCTCGCTATCGGTATTTCCAATGCTTCTATTCGTATGATTCGCAAAACTGGTATGTTAACAGTTCGATTGTTATCCGCATATGTCTTTATCCTGAAATTATTGTTCTTATCAGGTGTCTCTCTCCTCCTCTTCATTCCTTCGCCGTTCCGATTCCTCCTCCTCCCTTCTGCCTCCCCCTGCCTCCCTCCGCGCTCCTTCCTGCCAGCTCGTCCATCCTGCTCCTTCCCTGCGGCCTGTCGCTTTAGATCTGCTGCCGCCCAAATCCTGCATGGAAATGGCGGGGTGGGGGTGGGGGTGGGGGCGGGCAGTGGAAACCCATGCCACGAAACACCCTGCTTGCCTTCAGGGTGTCCTGTTTTTTTGGGGGGGGGGTTCGATGGTTCTGCTGTGGAGAGCGTGACGCTCCCACGCCAAAATCAGTGGACGTCCTGGGGTCTCGGGGCTTGGGTTTTTGTGGAAGGTTTCTTGTGGTCGAGCTTCTTTTGTAAATCGGAGGAGGAGCGGGAAGGCAGGCTGTACAGCCGAGGTTGAGTAGTAGGTCGACCCTGCCAAATGGAAGGGTACCGCTGTGTCCTGCGCTCCGCGACCCATGCCTTCTATATCATTCCTATGGCAGCTTGTCCCTCGGAAGGGCCTTATGACCCCGCGCGTGCCCTCCCACACTGGCCACGACAGCAGGGGTTGCAGGCAGGGTGGTCCTTCCCCTCCTCCTCCTCCTCCTCCTCCTCCTCCTTTCTCCTCCTTTCTCCTCCTTCCTCCTCGTCCTCCTCCTCCTCCTCCTCCTCCTCCTCCTCCTCCTCCTCCGCTTACCCGGCTTGCCGCACGGCGAGCGGCCCCCAAGCCCCGGTCAATTGGCACGGGGCTGGGGGCCGGCGGGCCTTTTTTTAATTTTTTTTTTTTTTTTTTTTTTGTCTTTTTTTTTTTTTTTTTTCCTCACTTTTCAGTTTTTTTTGTAGTTTTTTTTTGTTTTTAAATTTATTTTTGTTTTTTTTTTTTGTTGTTCTCTCCTTATTTTTTTTTTTTTTTTTTTTGTTTTATATTTTTTCATTTTCTATTAATTTTTTGATTTGTTTTGCGTATTTCTGTGTTTTTTTTCTTTTTTTTTTTTATTTACTCTTCTTTTTTTTGATTCGGTTTCATCAACTAATTATATTCTTTTTAATTTTTTTTTTATTTTTTTTATTCTGTTTTTCTTTTTTTGCCTTTTTTTTTTCTTTTTTTTTTTTTTTTCTTTTTCCTCGGGTCCGCCACGCGCACTCGGAGCAGAATGCCGCACGAGCAGAATGCCGCCAAGGACGGCCGCGCCGCTTCGAACCCGCAGTCGGCATACGCGCGGGCGGCCGAGGAGGAGGAGGAGGGGGAGGAGGAGGGGTGAGGAGGAGGAGGAGGTGGAGGAGGAGAGGAGGAGGTGGAGGAGGCACCACCAAACCGAAACGAGTGCCCAGAGGAGTAGGAGGAGGAGGAGGCGGAGGAGGAGGAGGAGGAGGAGGAGGAGAAGGAGGAGGCGGAGGAGCAGGACTTTGGTGTAGGAGGGATCGAAGTTGCAGGAGAGGGTCTAGCAAGGGAGGGGGGAGGCAGCATTCGGTGGCAACGTGGGGGGGGAGTGCATCGGCCAACCGCCAAGTGACCGCCGATAGATGCCCGACGGCCCACCCGCCCAGGAACGTCCCGATTCGCCATCGGGGGCCTGTCGCCGATCTATTGGTGATGCATCGCCGATTCCAGGTTGACGCTTCCCCCCCTGAGCCAGCCCCCCCCCCCAGGCGTTTCCCCTCAAGCATTTACCACGCTATTTTGTCTTTTCCAACTCCAGGATTCTGCGTCCTCTGGTGCGCAGTAAGGCCTGCCTGGCCGCCTCGTTGTTGCCATCGGTGCATTAACGTCAGCGGGCATTTGTTGACAGTGTCTTCATCACTTTTTTCCGCCATCCCCGCGCATCTGTGGAAACATGAGGTCCCAGGGTGACTGGTGTGACACGGGTTGAAGTACTTCGTTGGTGAAGTGCCGTGCCAGTGACGCGTCCCATCAGGCACAATGTCTAACATGTTGTTAGTGTCCGAATATCTGCTCTGACGACACGTCCGTCGCAACTTGCGGCGACTAGTATGATGAGCTCACGCAGGCTCAGTTCTATGTGAATTCGCGAGCGTGAAACATCCCAATCACTGGAGCACGAATTCCATCACGCTTTGTGATGAGGAACGAGCGAGGATGACATATATATATATATACATATAGAATTATATACATACATATCAATATATATATATATATATATATATATATTGATGTGTACCGGTCTGTTGTGCTTGAAGCGCGGTAGTACACATATCAGTTCTAACACACACGATTACTGGAACACCGTGCAACGTCCGGAAGGCAACACACCATGTGATGCCGTGTGGATGTTGCATGGGGAGCTACAACATGGGGCTGTGTCCCACCGCTGCAAGTGGGTGTGAAGGGGTTCTTAGCAACGGATCTGGTTTGTCGTGCGAGACATTTCAGCAACTTCAGAATCGTGGATGGCCATCCGCTGTAGCACCAATGTCGGGTGAGCGTAAGACCCGGGTTTGCCAGGACTCGGGTTCGCCATCGTTTTTTGACGACCGCGCCTCGGATTTTGACGAGGAGGAGTTTCGTGGGATGCCTGCAGCGGGAGGCCTCGTCAAAATGCAGGCTCGGCCTCGTCATTTTTTTGACGACCTCGTCGGGGATTTCCGAGTCCCCTGTACCCAGGTCTTACGTCCCCCTGACAATGCCCTGTCGACCTGGGCCGGCAGCTGGCACCCATACCTTGCAGATTCCTAGACGTCTCGCGATGGAATTCCGTGGGCGACCAGGCACGAGCACGAGCACGAAGCCATGTGCCGTCCGTGGCGTAGGTGGGAAAAGTCTGAATCCAAGCGCTCACCGCCAGTGCGCCTGCTGAACAGGACAAGAGGAGGAGGAGGAGAGGAGGAGGAGGAGGAGGAGGAGGAGGAGGAGGGAGGAGGAGGAGGAGGAGGCTCTGGGCGTGCTGTCGCGGAAGGGGGCCCCACGCTCGAAGGGGATCCTCCCCCGGGGGCCCGACGCCCCGCACCCAGATCTGTGGCGCCCTCACCTCCTTGCCCTTCCTCGTGCCTCCTCCTCCTCCTCCTCCTTCTCCTCCTCCTCCTCGTCCTCTTTCTCCTCCTTCTCCTCCTCCTCCTCCTCCCTCGTCCTCCTCCTCCTCCTCCTCCTCCTCCTCTTTCTCCTCCTCCTCCTCCTCCTGCAGGTTTGCGATCTTCGCGGGCCGATGGAGGGGGGGGGGGAGAGCGAGCAGTGGGCGCGGACCAGTTCGGAAGCGTCGGCTGGAGGGGCGATGGGGGCTCGGCGGGCCCTGGGCACGACGGGGCAGTCTTCGTTTGTCTGCCGTTTTCGGTTCCTCTTCCTCTTCCTCTTCCTCCTCCTCCTCCTCTCATGAAGAGGAGGAGGAAGAGGAAGAGGAAGAGGATTTTCGCTTGCCAGAGTTTTTCGCAGGTTCTGGCGCAATTGGTTTGACCTTCCCGGCGCCGCTTTTTTTGAACACCATTTTCGTTGCCCCTCGTGGGGGCAGATCACGGTTTCAGTGGACGGGGGCCGCTCCCGAACCAGGTCCGAACGTGTTTGGGATCCCTGGAGTGCCCAGGCCGTTTCGGTGAGTTGGTGTTATTTTTAACGTTTCGGTGAACAGTTTGTTGTATTGGGAAGGCCTTACGGTCAGTGCCGCCGACCTTGAAGGGGGATGTCGATGACGACGGCGGCGTCGGCGACGACGACAACGTTGACGCTCTCTTGTGAGCCGACAGGGCTTTGTTGAGGAACCTCTGGGATGATTTCTCACTTAGCAATTGTTGCATTATTTGCAGTTTGTCCCCGCATGTTTCGTGGGAGTACGTTTGTCTTCCCAGCCGCGTCTCACCCGCATTTCTCCTCATCCTATTTCCTCTCCGTCCCGCTCGCAAACGCATCAGATATGCGTACGCGCATTCGATTTCGGATCGCTCCTTGTTCTTCTCACTTGCGCTCGCGCGCAAGTGTACGCCTGGCGTGTTTCATTGCATCGTACACACCAAACGCATACAAGGCATACGCAGCACCCACATCATACAAATACACAAAACACACACAGACGAGAACCGAGTCACCCACATGACACAAAGCATACGCGTAGTGTGCGCAGGGCGTGGCATGCGTGGCACTTCCTCGACACTGGAAAAGGGGGTGCGCAGGGGGGTGCGGTCGCTATCCGTTTCGGGCTCGCAAAGCGTGGCAGGCGTGCCATTTTCTCGATGCGACCAGGAGTGCCTTGGGTTTCGATCTCGCAGAGCGTGGCAGGCGTGGCACTTTTCTCGACGTCACAAGGGGGTGCGCTGGGGTGCGGTCGCTATCCATTTCGGGCTCGCAGAGTGTGGCAGGCGTGGCAGTTTCTCGACGTTACACGGGGGGGATGCATGGGGGTGCGGTCGCTATCCGTTTCGGGCTCGCAAAGCGTGCCATGTGTGGCATTTTCTCGACGCCACAAAGGGGGTGCCTTGGGTGTGCCGTCGCTATCCGTTGCGGGCTCGCGAAGTGTGGCATTTCCTCGACTCCACGGGGTGGTGCGCCGGGGGTGCTGTCGCTTTCCGTTTCGGGCTGCCAACATCATGGCAGGCGTGGCACTTTCTCGACGCCGCACGGGGTGCCTTGGGGGTGCGGCCGCTATCCGTTTCGGGCTCGCAAAACGTGGGTGGCGTGGCACTTCGTGCATGGGGTCGGGGGTTGCGTGGGCGAGAGCTCGTGCATTATCCAGAGCAGTAGACACCTTGGCTCATGCCGGCACGCCCGTGATCCCACTTGAGTGCAGCCACCGCCGCGCCTACGCGTGGTAGTCATGCCTCCCGAAATTGCCACGGACGCCCTGCCACCCCCGTGTTTAGCGCTGAAGAACGCAAGGGTGAAGGTGTGCGGCGAGGTGAGCGTGGAGAGTTGTGATGTGCAAGCGGAGTGGTGCTGTCCGCGTTCAGTGCGTCCGTCCGCCAGCTTTACAACTTGTGGCCCGATACGCTGTGCGCGAAGTACTCCGACATGGACGACGACGGCCATGAGGCGGAGCCTGGTGGCATACCTGCGGAACCCTTCGTCGAGCGGGTCCGCCCCGGGGGCTTTCTCAGATCGGCTGGAGAAGAGTGGGTAACGCTTCGGCGGGCTGCCAGCGAGGGTGCGGCGAGTGCGCGAGGCCGGCAGCGCGTGCGCTGACCGGGAGTCTCCCTCCGCAGCGCTTGCCGCGCTTACGGCGCCCATGACGCAGACATCGGGCGTCTCGAAAAAATCGAGACGGAGTTTTTTCGTCGTTTTCGGCCTCTCGGGGCCCTCGCCGGGCCTCGGGGCCGTCAAAAAACGACTCGGGGCGAAAAACCGGCCCCGGGGAAGTGGTCGGGAGGTCGGGGGCCCGTCTTTCGAAAAAATCGAGACGTCGGATGTCTGGGGAAGGCTACGCCCACGCAGGCCGCGCCCACGAAGTCTGCGCCGACGCTCGCCATCACGCCGCAGAAGTCTCTGGCTGTTCCGTTGGCTACTTCTGTTCGGACCGCTGGCGCACCTCGCGTTCAGCTTTCGCCCGGGACCGCGGAGACGGACGGACGCGCCTTTTTCAAGCAAGTGGGCGTTTCCCCGCCGGTTTCCCATGGGAGCGTGGTTCCAAACAGTCGCGCTAACCAGAGGTCCTGAGCCAGACCTTCCCTCCCCCCCCCGCCGCGCAATGTCGAAACCCCGAAAAGAGGAAACCCTCACAAAGAAATCCGGATCACGCTCGAGGGCGGTACCAACACAGTGAACAAACGAGATCCGGACCAGGCCCCCGCCAGGGGCGCAGGCGAAGCGAGCGCCGCAAACAGCGGCGCCAGACGCGAAACAAAAACAGCGCCAGAAGCGGTAAAGACACGGGACAAAGCCGGCTGCGCGTAGGAGTGGCCTCTGGCCGGAGTGGCGTTTGGTGCGGGCACGTGGGGCCAGTTGGCTGTAAGAGTCGGGGCTGGACAGAACCCCCAACAGTGACACGTCGATTAGTGAATTGTCCGTTTTCGGTTCTCGAGAGGGCGCCGCGGCCGTTATTTTCCAGGCTTGCGCCCGCCAGGTTTGGGCCTCAGGTCGTTTTCACTAAACCACGTTATGCTAAAGGGAGGTCTGTCCATCCCCGACAGGCGCGATGAACGGCGGCCTGCGCGCTCGGGTTTCCCCCCCCCCCACACACACACACACACATCAGGAGGAGAAAAAACACACAGACACAATTAATCGCCCATTCCCCAGAAAATATGGGAAACTATGGGAAATGGGGGGAAGACAAAAACCCAGAACATATGGGAACATATGGGGAACATTTTTATTTGTGTGTATTTACTTGTGTGTCCCAGGGCCCCTTCAACACATCCCCCCACACCGCGCACTGAACTCGGCCACTTTGGCCTAGGGTCACTCCTGCGTGTGCTGTGCAGCGGACCCCCCTGCCAAGACACGCCCTGCTTGCCTCCAGGGTGCCCTGTGTTTCTTGGGTTTCGGTGGTTTTGCCATGGAAAGCGGGAGGTTCCGACGTCAAAATATAATGGACGCCGTGGGGTCTTAGGGTCGGGTGTTTTGTGGAAGGTTTCTTGTGGTCGAGCTCTTCATTGCCGAAAAACGTAAACAGCAACAAAGTGCCCTGACGCTTCCAGGGTTCCAGTCAGGGCGCGACGCCCGCGGACTCGCCCTGTCCCGACAGGACGCGGCCGCGGCCGCCGGTGTGGATGCCCGCGCAGCGGCCCGCGCCTCGGCCGCCGCCCGGCCGCGGGAGCGCGGGTGCTGGGCGTCCCCCCTTTTTTTGTCGGAAGGGCGATGGGGAGGGAGGAGGAGGGCGAAGGAGGAGAGAGAGGGAAGAGGGTCCAGTCCTCGTTTTCTTTCGCCGTTACCGTCGCGTCGCACTCTCTCCACTTCGGTCGGCCTCGTCATCTGGGCGGGCCGAAAACGCCCAAGGAGTAAGGGACCGTTTGCTTGGGAGACAGGGTCTCCCACCGCCCGGTGCCTCCCAGGCTTGGCTTGCGAAGCCCGCCGCGCGCAGGCCAAAGAGTATTTTTTTTCGTCGGCGGCGAGGCGGGCGCGATGCGCACCAGCGTGGGGCCAGACGGGGGCACCGATAAGCAAACTGACCGGCGCGCAGGGCGTGCAGCCGTGGCTGGCAACGGCGGGTGTGCCCGGGTTCCGCCCACGGGGGTATGTTTTGGCGGTGAGGGGAGGCGGGAAAGGGGGGACCGAACATGTTCGCCAGGCGGGCGCGAAGAAAGCTCTGGAGTCTAGATCTACGAGGCATCCATGTAAGCCAAAGACACCGCGAGGTATCCTTGCGGCCTGATTCCGTTTGCCTTCGTAGCCAGTGGATCGTGCAATTCGTTGCTTGCGCGTTCAGCCCCGTTCCCCCTTGCGCGGTCGAAGTCGGAACGCATGTTTCGCGTGCGTCAACGCGCGCGTCTTCATGCGAGGGTCGCTTCCCGTGCTTCGTTTGCTGTGCGGGGCCTGTGGAAGTTGTTCGAATCGCTTTGCGGTCGTTGCGCGCTGTGCAGGTCTCGTGGGGAAGCGCCCCTGGATTTTGCATTTGTGTTTTGGGGGCTGCCGCGCTTGGCTGTTTTTGCACTTGTCGATTGCCGTCGGCGCGGGATCCATTTCAAAAGACAATTCCGTCGTGCCTCCTTCCTCCTCGGTCATCTGTGACTTCTCCTATCTACGTCTTCTCTCCCCGGCCCCGGTGCCGCCCGAAGGTTCGAAGTTCGAGCCTCGAAGTTCGATGTTCGAAGCTTTTTGGCGCTCGGGGCCCCGCCTTTTCGCCGCGGTTGGACGCGGCTCGGAAAGCCGGTTCGCTTGGGCCCCGGGAGGGGCCCGGGGGCCTCTTGAGCCGGTGGGCAATTTGTTCCCCTCGGCCGGAAGACTCCTGCGTGGCATCTCGCAGGGAAACAATCTATACATGCCGTATATGATATATATATATATATATATATATATATATATATATATATATATATGCAGCGAGATGGGTTCCCGTCGCCTCGGCGTGCTGGCGGGCGGGGAGTCGCGGGTGGGGAGGCTTCGGGGCGCCAGGGGGCTCGGGGGAGGGGGCTCGAAAAACACACAGACACAATGAATCGTCGATTCCCAGGAAAATATTGAAAATATGGGAAGTGGGCGGGAAGACAAAAACCTAGAACATATGGGAAAATATGGGGAACCTTTTTATTTGTGTGTTTTTATTTGTGTGTCCCAGGGCCCCTTCAACATTGGGGCCGACTCGAAGGCCGCCCGGGTCGGCCATGGAGGCCTCTCGGGCCGTTCTGCTTCCGAGAGCGCGGGCCCAGGGGCATGCTGCTCGGGGCCGCGGCCGCTGCAGCGCGGTGCCGCTGCTGTCTGGGAGGAGCAGGTTCGTCGGGGGGGGGGCGCTCCTCCTCCTCCTCCTCCTCCTCCTCCTCCTCCTCCTCCTCTTCCTCCTCCTCCTCCTCCTCCTCGCGGCGGCGCGCTGTTCGGGGGGGGGGTGGGGCTGTTGGAATAGAGCAGACTCCGTGTCTCAAGCAGCTCACTGGCGTTCCGCTGCGCCGGTGCATAGAGCAGAACCAGTATCAAGCAGTGGACTGGCGCTCCATCGCGCCGGTACGGCGCGGGCGCGGCGGCAGATGCGAGGTGGGCCCGGCGTGTCGCACGCGCGGGGGTGGCCCTGGAGATCGCCGGCCCATTGCTGGGATTGGTCGAACCGATTGGAGGGCTTTGGCCAACGCCGTCCCAGAATTTGTTCGACGTGTATTGTACACATCCTTTTGTTTGACATCATTTGTTTTACAGATGTGTGTCGGGGATTCGCTGCCCTTGCAAAAGTCCCGCTTCTCGCGATGCGGTTTGGGCTGGACAAACATGTTCTTCCCTGGTCGGCCCCGGAGAGCTGCCCCTCTCGGGTGCGCTTCGTTCCCGCGCCAGGGAAATGGGGAGGGGCGGCAGGGAGGGCGGAAAGCACGCGGCAGGGAAAGAGGGGAGGGGGCATGTTAGGGAGCGTGCCCGCGGGGGAGTGCGGCGAGGGGGGCGCGGGCTACCCCATGGACCTCTCCCGGGGTGCGTTCTGACTAGAATCTCGAGGCGAATCCAGCGGTGCCGACGAGGGCCTCCCAGGAGGCCCCAAAAGGGGAAAGCGGCCGAAGAGTAGCTGTATGGGTACAGTCGGGGCTCTGAAGAAGGAACCCTTTTCGTTGGGGAGGGGCTCCGTGTTCCTTATTTGTTTCGCAGCTTGCCTTAGGTTGTCCTTATGTTTCGATGGGGAAGCGAAGTTTAATTTGTGAACAAAAAGGGCCTCGTTCCTTATTTAGGGTTCCTTAGGTCAACGCCCCGACTGTACTTTTTGTTTCTTCCGAGCTGGGGCAATCGGCGAGGGGCAGCCTCCTTCGCCGGCGCGGCCAGGCGAGGAGCCCGGCCCTCGCGGACGCGCCGCTGTCCGCCAGCGGCCGTGCCCAGGCGGTGCGGCTGGGGGCGCGCCTGAGGGGCGCGGGGGTGCAGGCGGCCCCGCACGGCTCGCTCCTGGGGTGGGTCCATCATGAAATCGGGCGTGCCCCTCTACAGGAGGAGTATTCCCAAGTAGTGGCAACATAATATGGGGGCGCGTGCTATTTTATGTGTGTATATATATATATATATTCTCATACGCACCTCTCCGAGGGAGTAGAGCTCAGAGGCGATTAATGCGCACGTCGTCCGCGATTTTTCTGGCCGTTTCGCTCGGAACATCCTCGAAATTCTGAAAATCGGTGGCACCCCTCACGCAGATCGTGACGTCAGGGTCCACAAACACATTGGAATTTCAACATTTTAACATAAAACCTTCAACAACACATGGGAATTTCAATAATTTTGACCCCGATTCTCAGAGAATGGCGGTTTCGCCTGAGACATCCTCCCAACATCGAGCCCCAGACCCCTCCTCGGAGCCTCCTGGGGGCCTCCTGGAACCTCCTGGGGCCTCCTGGGGCTTTCTGGACCTTCTGGTACCCCAGACCCCGCCTCGGAGCCTCCTGGAGTTCTCCTGGGCCTGCTGAGGCCGCCTGGGGCCTCCTGGGGCCTCCTGGGGCTTCAGAACTACATGCACACACAGAGACACAAATCACGCCCAACACATCACACGCTAGACAAACATAACATACACACACACACACCGACAACACACAAAAAGCACGCACCACACAAAGCACACATCACACACACAACACTCACAATCCTGGGGCCTCCTGGAGCCTCTTCTGGTATCCAAGTCGGGCCTCCTGAGGCTTCCTGGGGGGGCCTGGTACACACATCGCAAGGTGTGGCAACCCCACTTGCGCTCGAGTGCGACTTCGCTGTTGCATGTCACTCCTGCTTCAAACGCCCCTTCAGCTTGTTGTATGAGCCTGGGCACACACATGCCACTTGTATTACTAGAAATCTATCGTTATGCACATATGTTATACGTCTACATATAGTGTTTTTATACACACCCGCACACTCCATCATATATACCATATATTGTAGTATACATAATAGTATATGCTGCGTCGTCTATATATATATATGTGCTATACGGTATTACATTGTGTATGGATTTACATAGCTTATTGTATATACAATATAGCATATAATATATAATATATGTAATATAGTATACCATACGAACTTTATTGTATTCGATATATGTATGTATGTGTATATAGTGTAACTGCGATCGTCGATGTATACATACATTGTATGTATATACATCTTGTTTTGACCATAATCCCCCCCTAGGGGGACACGCCCGACCTACTTCTAGGCCTCCCAGATGGGGTCCGCGTGGATGGGGTCCGTGTTTTGATCCAGTGGAGTACAGCGGACACCCATGCCAAGAAACATCCTGCTTGCCTCCAGGGTGCCCTGGGTGTCTTGGGTTTCGACGGTTTTGCTGTGGAGCGCGTGGCGCTCCCACGCCAAGAGTCCATGGACGCCCTCGGGTCTCAGGGTCGGGTTTCTTGTGGGAGGCTTCTCGTTGTCGAGCGCCCACTTCAGCCGAACAACGCAAACGGCAACACGGTGCCCTGTCGCTTCCAGGGCCGAGTCAGGGCGCGACGCCCGCGGACTCGCCCTGTGCGCCCACCCTGCGTCCGCCCGCCCGCCCGCCCGTCGGATCTCAGGGGCCCCGCGTCCGCCCACCCGCGCCCGCCCACCCGCCCGCCCGTGGATTCCGGCCCGCGCGGCCCGCCCTCCCGTTGCAGTTCCAGGCTCCTAGGCCTCCCAACAGCTGGGTCCGAGAATTGGGGGCGGAAAAGAGGGGGGTGATGACTAGGGGGTGGGTGGTTATCAGTGCGGGGGTCATGATATTTCCCCAGATTTCATGGCGCCTCTTCTTACTTCATTACGTCCCTGGCCCCCCCGCTGGGCCGCGCACATGCCGCCGGTCATGATTTGCACCCCCCCCTCTTGGACACCCCCCTCTTGGCCGCTCCCGAAACAGCTGGGTCCGAGAAGATGGGGGGGTGGAGGATCAAGCCGGGTAGCGGCGATGCATCGGCGAGGCGGCTCCTCGGCGTGGAGCCCCATGGGAATGCCGGGGCGGTCGGTCCCTGCCCAAGATGAGGGGTCGGGAGCAGCAGCAGGGCTGGGAGCAGGAGAGAGAGAGAGGAAGAGACGAGAGCTCGCGGCTCTACTCCTGTTCCTCGGATCCAGCTGGGGACGATCTTGGCCTCCTGGGGTAGATCGCGGGGCCAACCCAGGAAGTCCCAGGCAGCTTCGGAACATGGTGGGCCATGCTGTCGCCATCTTGGGGCGCTGCGGGCCTCCAGTGGACACCGGAGGCTCTCTTGGGGGCCCCCTAGGCCCAATAGGGGGTTCGCCCGTGCTCCCCTTGGGGCCCCTTGGGCTCCCCCTGGGGCCGTCTTGTACCATGTGGGGGTCACGGCATGGACTCTAGGCCCCAGCCTCGGCGAATCTTGGCGAGAATGCATGTGTCACAGGGCGACGAGTGGGTGGATTGTCTTGTCGGTTCGTGCTCCCGAAGCAGAGTTTCGTGATCTGCGCGCGCGAATCGCCGGTGTCCCTTTCTGGTCGGCTTGCAGAGCAGACACGGCACCAGTGGGCCGTGCCTTTGTAGGTTGGAGTATAGTAATGCCATTCGGCTTCTTAGGCTTACGTCACATCCGCCGACCCTTTTGTTTAGGTGTCCAATCACGATTTTGTTGGTTTAGGGCGGTGTGTGTGAAGGGGATTCTGCCAACGGAAGTGAGCAACATCGTACCGCAACCCAAGAAGGGGAGGATGGAGGACGAGGGAGTGCAGGATGAGGACAAGGAGCGGGCCACCACAACGGAGGTCGATGCACCGACGCGGCATGGCGGCGATTGGGGCAGCAGGGAACCAGGCAACGAGCACGAGTTGAAAACGATCCGGATCATGTATTGTGCCAAGTGTAGCCATGTCAAAGCGAAGCAGACGTCGCGCAATGGCAGCCCCGAGTGGGACGAACGCGTCGGCAAAGCGCGATGTACGAACGACGCGTGTCTCTCCATTTTTCGAAGAGATGATGGAAATGTCGGAAGCTCAGAAGAAATACAGCGCAGCAGGGGAGAGACTGTGGCGGAACTGCGCAGAGGTGCGGGGCAAGTTGACGCGATAAAATACAATCGCAAGCGGGAAGCAGAGGCGGAAGCGGAGCCGCTGACGTGCTGAGCGCCAGGTTGCGGGGTGTCTTTCTGGGAGGTCGGACACTTCAGCCGCAACCAAGTGGAGGACTTCCGAACGAAGAAATGAGCATCATTAGTGTGCGGAGGATGTCACGACAATGGCGTCACCGCGAAGGGGGTGACCGATGCGGCAAAACGGCTCGAACGAAAATTGACGTGCGCGGAGTGCGAGAATAGGTTCCCGCGGCATGACTACATGCACGACAGACTGGAGAGTGAACACCTCTCAAGGAAAGTAAAGTTGTATGCGCTGAGTGCGTGGCTGTGGGGTCTCACGGCTAGCAATTGGCAGGCGCACGAGTGCTTCGGCACCTGCAACAAATTCTCGAAAGCTCGGTTCCTCGTTGGATTGAATTTCGAGCGTGCGCGCCAGAGAGGGACCCTGGAGTGCAAATCGTGCGCGTGAGACCCCGTGAAGCGCTTATGGCAGCGAACGAATGCTCGGGGCCGCAAAGGGGGAACACGAGGAGGAGGGGGATGAAGAGGTGGAGGGGGAGGAGGTGGGGGCGGAGGAGGAAGAGGGGAAGGACGACGGCGACGGCGAAAAGGAGGAACAGGAAAAATGGTGATCTGGTTTGCGGGCCCATGTGAGGCCCGTTACCCAAGGTTTCGTTGAGGATCTGGAGGCCGTATGCGAGCTCCCGGACCGCGAACTGGGTTGCGCGTCAGAGGCCACTCGGATGACTGATGGGGTCTCGTGCGAGGCCTTTTTTCGGGGGCGTTTTGTAATCAGTTTTTGGGCCCCTTTGGGGCCTCCCGGGGAGCTCGGAGATTTTTTTGAGCTCTCCTAGAGTTCCCCAGGGACCCCCAGAGGCCTTTGGGTGGTCTGTTGGGGCAACCTGGGGCCGTCTTGGCGCGGACGGGTCGAAACTTCCGCCCGGGTTCGGCCTCGAGGCCCTTTCTGGGCGCCGTCCTCGTTTTTTTTGCCGTCAGGGGGGTTTTTGGTGGTCGTGCTCGGGCCTTTTTGGGGGTTTCGTTGGCAGTGTTGGGGCTGTCGTGGGCCATCTTGGAGCTTTTCGTATATGGGGGTTCCTGGGATGTTTTGGGCGACGCCAGAGCCACAGATGCGAACCTGCTAAGCTATATGTTGTTCAACGGAATGCGACGATTGCTGCTTCATGGGGCCCTGTTTGAGGTTATGTTGGAGGCCTCTTGGGGCATCTCGGAGGCAGTTTGATGATGCTGATGATGCTGCTGAGGATGATGCTGATGATGATGATGATACTGATGATGATGATGATGCTGATGATGATGATGATGATGACGATGATGATGATGATGATGATGATGATGATGATGGTGATGATGATGTGTATGATGACGGTGGTGGTGATGCTGCTGATGATGATGGCGATGTTGAAGATGATGACGATAATGCTGATTGTTATGATGATGCTGATTGTTATGATGATGATGATGGTGCTGCTGATGATGATGATGATGATGATGATGATTCTGGTGGTCAGTATGACGATGATGACGACGATGCTGATGACGATGATGCTGACGATTATGCTGATGATGCTGCTGCTGATGGTGGCAATTATGATGCTGCTGATGCTGCTGGTACTGGTGATGCTGATGATGACGGTGATGGTGGTGATGGTGATGATGGTGGTGATGATGATGGTAATGATGATTACGATGCTGATGATACTGATGATGATACTGATGATGATGGTGAGGCTGATGATGATGACAATGATGATGATGCTGCTGATGATGGCGATGATGATGTCATGCTGTTAATAATGACGCTGATTGTTACGATGAAGCTGCTGCTGATGATGATGATGATGGTGGTGATGATGACGA